AAAAGCACAGGAACACGTGATTTTGCTATCAACACCAAAAAGCATACAAATTCACCTAAGGAAAAAACTGCACCTTTCCTGGTCGAGCAAGTTCCAAAGGCCGGATCATACCCCCACATCCCACCCACTGTACTGCTGTGTTCCAAGCAAACAACGTGGGGTGAAGGCCCAAAGCAGCCAGAAAATCTAGTTTTAAAACAAGTAAGGATGGACCATGGGGTAGGCTCTCTGGGGCCTCCAACCTTGCTTATGGCTCCTCTCTGCGAATGGAAAATGCAAGCAAGGCCTTTGTTGCCACAGAGAAAGCCGTAGGGATGCTCGCCCGTCCACTGGACATGACTGACCGAGGCACCTGCATAGATAGATGGGCCGACGTCCAGAAGGCCAGTCGGAGAAGTAAACATCAAAGGTTTGTTTTTATATAGACATTTTAAATGCACACAAGCCCAGACCCGTCCTCAGCTGCTAACGTTAGTGGATTACTCATTCTTCCTTCCAATCACGTCATGTGCAAGGCTCCAGGTGGCTGCGGGGTATTTGCTTACAACGGCTACTGCTGGTTTCCCTGAGAGCTGTTTATTTTTCCAGGCCTCAGGTCATTACATCACCCGCGGTTTCTGGGCAGGCCAGGAGTGCTGGTTTGGGGGTGGGGGAATCAGCTGGGAGGTGCAGTTGCCTCAGTGACCCCCAAGTCCCAATCATAGCAGCAGCTCTCCGGGCAGGAACTTCCAGGTGAGGAGGAACAATCCAAAAATGAGGCCAAAGGGCCCTCCGCAGGCCCAGAGGAGCAAGGCTCCAACATAGGCAGGTAAGGGCAGGATGCTGCGGACGGCTCTCTGGTGACATGGGGGGGGGGGGGGGTAGGCACACTCACTCATGTATGAAGAGACAGGGGGTCATTTTCCTGGCAGAACATATAAGAAATGCATTTCCACCTGCGTCCCCACTGATGCCTGTCTCTGAGGACAGTTCCCACGACCTGTCCCAGGTCTGCCAGGCGAAGAGGCAAGGAAGGAAAGACGTGGTATCTTTTAGATTTCACGCAGGGGGCCAGGTTCTACGGCCTTCTTGAAGCCCCAGATCAGATCATGAAAGAAGTTAACGAGAAAAGATGGAGATAAAGGAAAGAAAGAGATAGAGAAGGAGAAAGGGGAGGTAAATGACCCCGCCAAAGGCTACAGAGTCAGCCCTTGGGACCTGGGACTGAGGGAAGGGGCCAATGTGCTTCACAAAGAGAAGGGTTAAGGCTCAAAGACCATATTTCCTGAGAGAGAGCATTTTTTTTTCCAGAGAAGAGAGCATAGATTTTTCCCATACCAAGAAAATAAAAAGGAAAGCAAAGACTTTTATAAATCACAGTTGTAGCCAAATGTCCACAAACAGTAAAATTAGAAGCAGTGGGGTATGGGATGAAGAATGAGACGAAGCCTCATTTTTGTCATTTCTTCAATCTCTCGACGCTCTTCTATAAAATGTAGATGACTTTTAAAAATTGTTTTAATTCTAGCTATATTAAGAAATTCCTTGGAAGCTAGCTCCCAAAACAAAAAAAACAGCAGGAGTTCCTATTTTCTTATAAAAGTAGAACAGAGTCTCTGGCCAACACTCATGCATGAGACGATGCCCACTCTCGAGTTCTAGGTGTCAGCCGGCCAGGTACATGGTCCTGCTAAACGCAAGCACCCATGGTGTGAAAATCAGAGAGAAGGCCAACGAGGCAAACCTGTCAATGCTGGACCTGCCAAGTCCTCAGAAGGTGACACTGACCATGGTGAATACAAGACAAAGCATTAAAAACAAGGACCAACACCTCCGGGAGGAGTGAAGGAGACAGGCTAAGTCTGCAGGCATACGTGTCATGTTATTGCAAAACTGCGGCTGCCCAGTGGAACCTCTCCAACGTCAACAGTCCCCAGGCCAGAAAACAAACCTGGCGTCACAGGGTCTGAGTGTGAAAGACGGACATTTGGGGTGTAAAAGAAACTGGGATGGCCTCTTTGCCTCTGAGACTGAGAGCTGAGAAAAGCACTCGCTCTCTCGGCTCTGAGTCCCATTCCAACCTCCCCGGAGTTGTGGGCCAAAGAGCCATGGAAGCCAGAATCTTTCAGCAAACACTACCGGGAAACTGTCTCAGGGGCTGGTCCCAGAGGTTCCAGTCCATAGCAGAGCCAGCTGCCCAGACATGAGGTGCCATTAAGGTATATCTGACTTCTCATCAAACCAAGTGAGAGACTCTGAAAAGTGGCAAGCACAGCCCGGCCAGTGTGGCTCCATGGTTGAACGTCGACCTATGAACCAGGAGGTCACAGTTTGATTCCTGAACAGGATACATACCCAGATTGCAGACTTGATCCCCAGTAGGGGGAGTGCAGAAGGATTTGATCAATGATCTCTCTCATCATTGATGTGTGTGTTTTTATTAATTTCAGAGAGAAAGGGAGAAGGAGAGAGAGATAGAAATGTCAATAATGAGAGAGAATCATTGATTGGCTGCCTCCTGCCCTGGGGATTGAGCCTACAACCCGGACATGTGCCCTGACTGGGAATCAAATCATGACTTCCTGGTTCATAGGGTCGATGTTCAACCACTGAGCCATGTTGTCATTGATGTTTTTATCTCTCTCTCCTTCTCCCTTCCTTTCTGAAATTAATTAAAAATACTTTTTTAAAGTGGCTAGCACAATACATAAGGATATTCCAGCAAGAGTAGCTACTATTTTTCTCTCTCCCCCAATATCCTACCCTATACCTAACCTTACAGACATTACCTCTCAGATAAAACTGGGGCCAATCAGGGGAAAAATCAAAGTGGTTGGGTCACCCTAACAAAAGGAAGGTGACTATACCTGCCTGTCAATCATTTCTCCATACTCATCCAACTAGAAACCATATAGAAGTAGGAATGAAAAGCAGAACTTATGGAAGCAGACAACATCGCTGACTTGGCATTGCCACTAGATTGCATGCAGAGAATACAACTCAAGAAGACAGGCACTGTTTCCACCAGCCCCACCACTTGCTAGCTGTGACTCAAGACAAGCTACTGTCTCTCTCTCTCTCTACCTCTGACCCTTCACCTGTAAGATGGGGACAATAACAGCACTTATCTCATAGAGTTGTGGCAAAGCTCAAATGGGATAACACATTTGATGTCCTATAGGACCAGACACAGACGAGCTCCAATGACAGTGATGACTCCAGTTTTACTGAGGATGATCATCTTGCGTCCTCCATCCTTCCCCAAAGCAATCAAACACCTTGAGATATCTATTATATCTTTAATAGATATATAGATATATTAGATAGCCAATAAAGCCCTGGTCCAGAGTTTAATCTAAGTAGAAAGATTAACCACTTGCAGATGAAAATAACAGTGGGGTGAGTGGAGAAGGTCCTAAGTAGAGGCTTCTTAATAGATGCTTTTGCTTCAGGTGACAATCACAAATTCTTGACTGAAGAATTCTCACTGCAAGCAGCATCATTAATATTCCTATGTTTTCCTACCAGTTATGATGATAATTACAAATACATGACCTTGCAATGTATCACACACTTACTATTGATCACTGAGCCAGGTATCAGTCAAGTATCATACAAATGTTAACTCAGTTTAACCACAATTCTTTGAGGGAAAGATTATGATTACAGAAGAGAAATGAGGTTCAAGGGGATGATTTGACTTGGCTGAGTCACACACTAAATATTGGAGTTAAAAAGTGAACACTAGCCTGGTCGGTGTGGCTCAGTGGATTCAGTATTATCCCATGCACCAAGAAGTCTCGTTTGATTCCTGATCTGGACACATGCCTGGGTTGCAGCTTAGGAGGTATCCAGGAGGTGGCCTATCAATGTTTCTCTCTCATCAATGTTGTTTATCTTTTTTCTCTCTCTCTCTCTTTAAAAATTCAATAAAAACATATTTTAAAAACGGAACCCCAGATTTCACTGATTCCCCAAAGCCTGTGTTTTAACTACAGCCCTGTTTTATCAAAGAATCTGGCCCACAGGTATTCACATGGTCTCCTTTTCACCCACTATCCCACAGTGACTCCAGCTTTTACCAAACGAAACCAACACATGATGAGGTACTGGCCTGCCCAAGTCACAGAGGAATCAACCAATGCTGCACTGATTCACTTCATAGTCTAATTCACTCCATGCATGCTAGTCCACACACTACTACCTTTAGGACAGAACTAAAGAGGGCCAAAGACAGCATACTCATGAATTACCGGCCATATAAAACTCTGCCAGTGGAAAGGGATGTAACTTTTGTTTATAGTCCTTGCTATCTACAAGAAAAAGAATGATATGGCTAAATTCAACAGGCAGGCTAAATTATGCCAAATGGCATTTCTCACAATAAAGCCTTAGGCTGAAAGAAGGTTGATTCCCCCTGATAAGAGATATGGATTTGGGTCTGATAATACATTTCCTGTTGATGGACATCTGATCTTTACTAACGGTAAATAAACCTTATTGACTTTGGCCTTCATTGATGGTAAATGAACTCTACAAATCTGATTACCACCTTTCTGCAAGGGGGTCAGCCAGTACCAAAACCTGACTACTCACAAGTTTCTCAAAAGATCAGACTATAAAAGATACAACCAGCAGCATTTATTCAGAGCCTTAAAAACCACACAGAACCAAGGCTCTTGAGACTTGAAATACCACTGCTCTATGCCTAACCATTCTTCTATCAAATACTGAAAATCAATTAAAATATTAAAACATAGAGTCAAAAGGCTGTGTTGTTATTTTAGCTAAAAGTGTCAACTGCTCATGAAAGAGGATCCCTGAGATAATAATTGAAGACGATTGAAGATGGAAGGGATTATCTCATCTAGCCTCATTCTACAGCTGTAGAAACTGAAGACCAGAAAGGGTAAATAACATGCGCAAGCCTACCCAGTAGGTAGTCATGGGGTAACCATGGGACAGCCATGGGGCAGCCATGGGCTATCAGGTAAACCCATAATCCACGGCAGATTATTTACCTGAATTTCTTACATTGGTGTTGTTCAGTTTGGAGTCCTTGATTACCAAGTGCTTAATCCACAGAGTGGGAGCTGTGATTTCTGAAAGAAAAAAAAAAAAAGGAGGGAGAAAATGAAGACTAGGCAAAGAGAGCATGTACATTGGACTGTAAACTCCCATATTCTTAATAGCTTTTTTAAAAGCCTGAGGCACTGAGACTTGACTATCTGCCTCATCTGCCCTTTGTCCCAAAACCTCTCCCTTCCTTGCTGTGGAAGCTCCTCTTCCTATCAGTTCGTAGGAGCCAAGCAAGGGCTCCTGTTCAGGGAGGCAGAGTGGTCAGCATTCAGAAGCACTGAGCTCCTCCATCCAGGAATAAAAATATTATCCCAGGAAGGGAGGAACCTGGGCCAAGCCAAGTCTCTCTCAGCTGCTTCCCTGGAAGAACTTAAAGGGAATAAGTCAACAAACGAACACCAAACAAACCACAAAGGCCATTTTGGAGGAAATGGCTGAGCCACACGGATTTTAGGTGCTGAGCTTCTGCTGCATGTGGGAAAGAGAGCAAAGGGTGTGTGCTTCATGCCCTATCCAATGGTTCCTCATTGAACAGGGGCTGACCCCCATCCAGAGAGTGTGGGGGTGCTTCTAGGCCCTCCGGGGTTTGGGTCACCCAGTAGACAGATGACCATGAACACACTGTATAGTGACAAAATGGGGGTACTCGGCATGGTCAAGCTGGCATGGTCTCCATTCTCCACCCAGTCCCCAGGGTCCCAGGCTTGCCGGTGATAAAGGACCTTTGAGGATAACAGAAGCATTGGAACTTCTGGGCATGAACACAAATATGTCCCATGAAATAGTCAGTTGCAAAGGGCAGCTCATTCTAGGGACATCTCTAGCCACAGTACCAAACAGTGACATGATTTCTTTTATTTCTCTGTCTTACTGTCCAGGCTCATGATCCAGCCTGCATACACTCACTGAAAGCTACTAAAAGGTTGCTGTACATTGCACCAGGAGCCAAACCTAGCTGTCAGACTCGGCACTGTGCCGAGCATCTTTCTCCTTCTCATGGGAACCCAGAGTACTTAGCAAAGCACTCTGAAGAATATAGGCCCTGAACACCTCAAACTCAAATCGAGGCCAGCCTTCTGCACCCCAACCTCTTCCTAAACACCCTTTATACCTTGAGAGACATCTATTTTTGCCACCAGCCACAACTATTCCTCTTGACCTAGAATTTCTCCTCTCTCAGTTGTCTTGACTCAACTCTCATGATCCCTACAACTTAACCAAACCAGCTCTACTAACCTGTCCCTTTCCTTACTATACCCAATTCCCACAATACTCCCTCCCTTGTCCATGCTGGTCCCCTGCCTGGAATGCCCTAATTCTTCCTTCCCACCTTCAAGGTCCAGCTCAAGTTCCTCCCATCTCCTCGAAAAACCTCTCCCCAGACCATTGTGATCTCTTCCTTCCATACACTTCTACTATAATACAATTATAACTGAAACCACGTAATTTAACACACAAAGCCCTCCAGGGGTTGCCACTGTCTTTAGAGTGAGGGCTTCATCGGCTCTATTTCTCCTCCGTCCCCTAGAGGCTGAGCATGAAGCTGGGCCCAGGGCAGGAGCTTCTCAGTGCTGGTTCATTTACTGAGGGGACGGTGCCGGCCTGACTGTCTTTCTCTACTGTGGCTCCTCAGTCTTGGCAACTCCCAGGGTCCGTGCAAGCTGTGTTATTGCTGGCCATCAGCAGCCAGGCAGGAAGCCTGGAGTGTACAGAGGGCCTTTCCAGAAGTGGCGAGTGAACCAGTTCCTGGGAGGGTTTGCATTTGTTTAAAAGGTCAAAACAACCCAGCGTACACCAGTAAAAATTACAATTTAAAGAGGAAATAATAATGATAATGCTTAAGCAAACATCCGAAGGAAAGTCCCACCTTCCCCAAATCTGAAACCGGGGCAGGGAATGGGAGTTGGAAGTAATACCAGAGCTTACCGTCCCCGTCGAACACCGGCTGCGTCTCCATCGTGGGTGTTGGCTTAGACCCGTCATCTGAATTGAGGGTTAAAAAGAATCGAAAAGAGACTACCATTATTGAGGTAAATACTATCTACTCTCCAGCACTGTTGAATGGTTTGGGTTTGCACATGGCCCGGCCAAGTCCCAATGAAGAGGCCAGAGAGAAAGAAAAGAACAAGAAGGAAAAGAGAACCACAGAGAGACACCAACAGGAAGGCAAATCCAGGTGTGCTCGCTCTTCCAAGGGAGGGTCAAAAGGGAGCGGGGCTGCCATGGCTTTGGAGGACCCTTCCTCGTCGGTCTGAGTTCCTTGGTCCGCCCCATGTGAAAGGTTCCCTCCTTCCCCAGCAGCCCTGAAGTGTAGCCAGGCATGATCACACAGCATGGCCTCAAATTCCCCAAGTTTCTTCCTGCCCTCTTGTGAAAAGTGGCAGCCCAGTACCTATTAAGTGGCCTTCATTAAAGAGCTTAAGGAAAACAAGAGACTGTGGTGGTATTACTCCCCCTCCCCAACCAAACTCCTAACTATTTCTTATCATCATTTAGAGTAAAGTACAGCATAAGGAAAAGAGTCAATCATATATATATAAATAGGTAATATGCAAATTGTCTGGGATGCTATAACATCAGGACTGCTAAGGAGGAGGCTGTGTGCAGGTGGGTGGGAGGGGACTGAGTGTGTGGTGAAGCAAGCCACAGATGGCGCAGGCCTGCAGAGAACAGGGCCTGCTAGCCATGGTACACCGGCAGTCCCTCCTCTGCGTGTGAGCTTCCAAGGAAACACCCTTTCTGACCACTCATTGGCTAAGTTCCCCATATGCCACTCGCAGTGTTCTTGGTAACTTGGGTAATAAGAATCCAAGAATGTGATCTAGGATTTTCCACCTCTCTCCAGGAGGAAAAAAAATGAAGCTCCGCTGCTGAAGGGGCTAAGAAATGTCATATCCTGCCCTAGCCAGTTTGCCTCAGTGGATAGAGCCTCGGCTTGCTGACCGCAGGGTCTGGGGGTTTGATTCTGGTCAAAGGCATGTACCTAGGTTGCAGGCTCCTCCCTGGCCGGGACTCAGGTCAGGGCTTATGCAGGAGGCAACCAATTGAAGTATCCCTTTCACATTGCTGTTTCTCTCTGTATTTCCCTCTCTCTTCTACACTCCCTAAAAATCAATAGAAAAATATCCTCAGGTGAGGATAAAAAAAAGAAAGAAATGTCATATACTATGAAAGACACATCTTGAAAATGCCTAAAGAAAGTTGTCATTTTTTTGTGGTAAAGGGACTGGCAATTTTTCTGTATTGATGAAAACATCTTGGTGGCTGTGGCAGCCAACAGTGGCAACAGCAGAGGGGTAATGGGGGCAGTGCCTTCCCGTGATCAGTCGGGTCACCTCCTGCAGAGGGAGGCCAAACTGCAGCTTAGGTCTGCTCCCCAGAGTGAGTGGGCCTAAGCAATCAGTAGGACATCCCCTGAGGCCTCCTGGATTAGAGAGGGTGCTGATCAGGCTGAGGGAGCCTCCCCCCCCCAACCCAGCTCTGTGCATAAATTTCATGCACCAGGCCTCTAGTATTGTAATAACTAATCACTATGCTGTGCACCTGAAACTAGTATAATATTGTATGTCAACTGTAATTGAAGAATTTAAAATTAAATAAAATTTAAGAATTAATAAGAGAAGGCAGAAAGGACCATTCTTTCTCCAGCATGCTGAATGAAGAGAATTGGGAACCCCTGTGAAATAGCATGTACCACAATCCCTTGTGAGAGTGGGGCGAACAACATGAGAGGGGACATGGGAGACTGCACCCTGGATTTGCTTTCCAATATCTAACCCAGATGATGGGAGCAGAGAGTTCCTGGCAGCCAAGTCCTGACACCCTCCATGCTGGCAGGGTTGGCTGCTCTCTCTCACCTTTCAGGACTCGGTTATTTTCATCAAAATAAACCGTAGTTTGCAGCAGTGGTTTTCAACCCTTTTTATTTTTTTCTCATTATTACTCACTTAAGGAGCATTTTTAGACACTTTTCTCCCAATCACTTACTTAATAAAAGATACACTCCATGTACTGTATGTATATCTGTACTTTGTATATAAACAGAGCATACCCCCACCTAAACCAATGCCCCAGAACCAATGTTTGCCTCCTTAGCAATAGCTGGGAGCAGATATCTTTGCCCCCACTGAGAAGGCATAGTTTAGAAAATTCTGTTTTCTCCCTCAGTGCAGGGAGGAAGGAGGGCACTATGGTCGCAGACATTTTTATGATTACACCATGTCTCTCTTCTAAGACCCCCAGAGGTCTTTCAGAACTGAACACTTTATTCTCCGAGCATTAACTATTTGTGGAGAATGTGAGTTCTCAACCTCTGCAAAGTCAGTCAGATCATCAGTAGTAACAATCCCACGCCATTCAGAACTCTAGAACCTTTGGCTGACTTCCCTGCATCATGTCCCGAGAGCCAAAAAGAACAGAGTCCTGATCCCCTTCTTGAACCAACACCTGACCTTAAGATGGAGAGCTATATAGACCCTAAGCCTTGCTGGAGGCTGAAGCTGGTGGCCAGACAGTTGTGTGACACCTGACCCTCCAAGACTGACCTCCCACAGAGGCCAAGATGACCCTGAGTCACCTGACCATCATCCCTGGGGATAAGATGCAGCAGGAAGAAAAGAGTAACTAACCGAGCTTGAGTTCTTATTTGCCTCCCCCTAGAGTCTGGAGCAGGCATCTCTGATGCCAAGCTGGGTGAGTCTGGCTGGAAGTTATTGAGGGAGGATAAACACAGAGCAGAGCCACACAATGTCATTTTTAATAGCATCACTTCCCCTGACCCTATTAACACCTCTTTCCATTGACTTCAGCGAGCCACTGAATGAAGCCTTTTGGCAGCTGCAATACACATTTGGTTGCGTCCGGCTGCTGGATGCAGAGTTCATAGCCTGAATGGCCCAGCGCAGTGTCAAGGGTAACAAAGGGAAAGTGAGAAGTCACGCACGGCCTGAGGGACAATGCCGGTGAGAACCTAAGTGGAAAATGGCTTATGTGACATTGTGATATTCAATTAAAATCCTCCCGTATTCCAAGAACTGTATCTCTCTCTGGAGCTGAACAACAGAAACATTCTGTTTACATCTCCCATCATCCAGATAATAGCCTGGGACTGCCCATCTGGCCCAGCGGCCAGACCATAATGCCTGCTGCTCAGGGAGAGGAGGAAGGGCTTCCGGTCTCCCGGGAGAATGTGCAGGTTGAGGACCTCCACGATTGCCCAGATGCAGGCCCAGAGGCCCACACAGCATGAAGCCACGTGCAGGGAGTGGATCTGTCTGCAGGATAGGGTCACCAAGGGTGAGGAGACGCAGCTGCACTGCCCCAGGGCGGCCCGAGGTGGAAATCTTTATGAAGTGTGAAAAGCAAGGTGCCCTGCTGCCAGAAAAGCCACCTGTGAGATCCAGCATGCCCAAATGATGAGAGGCCAGGCCAACGCCAACAGGACCCTCTGACCATCATCTCCGGGCACCTGGGCACCTGGCTCCCGACCCAGCAAACAAGTACTCCCTGCCACCAAACGGGTCCAAGGCCTGGGTCCAAGGTCCACATTGGTCCTGCCTCCTGGCAAGCCTTCGGGCAACACTGGGCCCCACACGGGGCCCTGGGGAGAGAGAAATGCTTCCACATGTGCCCCTGGCCTCCCAGTCTCCAGTGGGGTCACACTCCAGATCCAGGTGTTACAGGCAATAAGTTGGTAACCCGAACCCCTCACTTTTCTTCTCTGGGCAGTGATTTCCTCTTCTAACAGTGAAGGTTGCCTGCCTCCCCAGCCTCGGGATGCTGTGTAGGGGGGAAGACTTTACAGTCCTCTTAAAGGAGGTATGGTAGTACTAAAGCATCTCATCCCACAGCCTACTTCTAAAATTGGATTTGCAAAATTCAAATCCTACTAATGCTTTTTTAAGTTAAGAAATAAAGTAAACCTGACAACTCAATAAGAACACAAACAATCTGACTTTAAAACAAGCAAAATATTTTGAAAGACGTTTCACCAAAGAACATGCACGATGGCTACTAGACACATGAAAAGATGCTCAATGTCATTAGTTATTAGGAAAACGCAAATTAAAACCACAATGAGATGCCACTAGAATGGCTAAAATTTTTTCAATAGATAATACCGTGTGTTGGCACGGATGTGGAGAAACAGAAACCCTTGCTCATTGCTGAAGGGAATGTAAAATTGGGTAACCATTTTGGAAAAGAGTTTGGCAATATCTTTCCAAACTTAAACATAAATTTACTGCCTGGCCTCTCAAACCAGAAATCCAATCCTGAGACTATCCAAGAAAAATAAAAACATATCCACCTGAAGACATGTATACAAATATTCATAGCAGCGTTATTTCCAGCCCCAAACTGGAAGCAAATGTTTGTCAACTGATTAACAGATAAACACACTGTGATATCTCCATATAAAGAAATATTGTTCAGCAGTGAAAAGGAATGAATTACTAACACATGTGCAATATAGATAAATCTCGGAAACATTATACCAAATGAGAGAAGCCATATGCAAATACTACGTATTGCATAAGTTCATTTACATTTATTGCCTAGTTAAGGTAAACCTACAGAGACAAAGCAGATCCCTGGTTGCCTAGGGCTGAGGGTGGGAGTGGGGTATAACTATGGGTGGGCACAGGGTTCCTTGTTGGGGAGATGGAGTTGATCTCTGGTAGTGGCTGCACAACTTCAGAAATGAACTAAATTCATCAAACTGTACATTGACAGTGAGTCAATTTTATGGTATGTAATTATACTTCAATAAAGCTGTTAAAACAAAAGGGGAGGCAGTGTCAACGTCATCACAGATGAATCATCAGGCGGCAGCAATAGCTATATTATTTGAGCAATCCTTGATTTGAGGGGAGATTTTTCCATATACAGGGTGGAGCAAAAGTCGATTTACAGTTGTGAGTATGCAAAACACAGTTTGTTCTTGTATTATTATCTATTAATTATTGTATTATTTTCCATCTGAA